CAATACCACAACTTGTTGATATGATTTTTGGAAATAATCAGTTCCAAGATGAGCTGCAATATTATGCAATTTATGGTGAACTTGAAGAGCAGAGTGATGATTGAAAAGGGAGTAAAAGGTAGTATAGGGAAAATGGGAGCAGCCTATTATTCACGCTTCAATCATCCCGACTCCTCACGCAGAACCGTTCTGCCTACCTGCTTCTCATCTTTCCCTTACTCATCAGGGTGTATTCACGGAGTGTTTTATTCTAGGTGCAGTGGTAGATGTTAGGACTGCATCCATCGATGCCTAGTACACAGTCTCAGTTTCAAACACTCTCTAAAGAAACAGCAAGTATACAGTTTCTTTACAATGTAAGGAAAAGCTGTGCAGTCAGTGAGACAGACGGCTTCATAGGTAAAGTTGCTGCTGCCAACTCTGATCTCATGAGTTTGATCCCTGTGAGAACTGATTCCCTCAAGTTTTCCTCTAACATCCATGTGTGTGCCCACACACAATGAATAAATAGATAAATATGTATTTTATTTACAAATGAACCAACTGTGATGAGCTTTCAGGGGTACTTGTGAACAAGTTGCCTGAATATGAAGGAGTGGCCATATCTAATATTGGGATAAAATTGTAAGAAAAACTTTTGTGTGGAGAAAAATGGAAGAAAGAAGTGAAGGGAAGAGTATAAAATCTAAACATTCAGAGCTCTAAAAGGGAACAGAATCTTATTTGATGTAAGGCTCTGATAAAGAATATGATCTATGAAGCCTGAGGAGCCCAGATAGAACCAGAGGCAAAGTACTTCATGAGACAAACACCTAAGAGACTCTGTCGCCGTCTGTCCAGAAGATGTAGACTGATTTTAGTACCATCGCAAGGTCATCTAGCAGCATGTTTCTCAGGAAAAGGATTATAGACGCTGAAGTCTGGGGTGGATCTTTAGAGTGTTACTGCTCTTTTTAGCCCCAAATTTGAACACTAGCTCTGCTGCTCAATGTGGTATGTGGAGGAAAGAGTTCCATCCCATATTCCTAAAAAAGTCTGATGTCTCCCTGTACAAGAAGCAATAAACCTCACAGCAGTAAGTCCGTAACTACAGACTGGCATGCTCCTTGTACACAGGGTGCATTCTGAAAATCCTGGCCCTTCCCCTTCTCCTTTCACCTCTCCACGTCCTTCAGCAAGAACACACTTGCCCAAGAATGTGGGGAACAGAACCTGTTTTTGTGGGCTTCCATGTAATGATTTCACAACTTAGTATATGGATTCTGTTAGAAAAGCTCTGAGTGTTTTAAGATTAAACAAACTCTTCTTCATTGTACTTCCTCAGTAATCCAATGGGAAGGGTTCTGCAAACCCTTGGCTACTGTTCTACAAAACTCTGGGGCTCCTCAGTACCTGTCCCCAAAACACAGACTTCTGATTACCCCTTGGGTTCAAAAGGAACATAGTACTCAGAAAAATCGATTATCAACACAGTTCGAAACTGTGCTGGGTTACATCTTTATAATATGTGCTACATATTCTGAAATTATATTATTTTCTTCTGTACTCCGAAAACTGACCCACCAATATGTTTCCCCATTCTAACCTACTCAGAAACAGCAGATGATGATTTAATCAGTATAAATAACCATAAGATACAAAATTCACTCCCTTAACCACTGACTAATTCTTTGACCAGTTAATAAATCTAAGCTTTAGTATTTTCACAGAAGGTGAAAATTTTAAAACATCAGCCGGGCGGTGGTGGCACACACCTTTAATCCTAACACTCAGGAGGCAGAGACATGTGGATCTCAGTGAGTTTGAGGTCAGCCTGGTCTATGAGACCTAGTTCCAGTTAAAACAAATTAAAGCATCTTTGAAACAGTGCAGCCCATTGTTGTCCAAAGGTTCTGTGAGAAGTGTGTACCGTAGAATAAAGTTCGAAAGGATCCTAGAATCCTATCTATGGACCTGTTGGTGAAATCAGTCTACAAAGTTGATATTGTAATGCTTCTGATACCATATTCAGCATATACACACGTTCTCAGACGTAGGCTTATGCAAAGTCCTATGACATTGGAGATGTAGGATTCAATATATTCACTCGTATAATCAGAGTCGACTCCACAGTGATTGTTAGAGTATATCATAAAAGCCTGAATTTCTACGTTAAAGAGAAGGTAGGTAGTGAGTTCCCCCCACTAGTGGAACATATAATAAAGATGGTTAAAAAGTACTGTAAAGTGAGACCTGCCTGGAAAAACGGTCTTTGGTTAAAAGTAAATGTTGCTTTTGTAGAACTCAGTTCCTAGCATCCATATCCAGCAGTTTACAATAGCCTCTAACTCCAGCCCCTGCAGAGCTGAATCCAGTCACTCACACCCTGGAGGCCCATATTTCTATATGGTATGGCAGCCAGGCTCTAAAGCCATAGTCAGTATCTGAAATGGTCACGTAACCTTCCAGACAGGTGGTCGCTAATCTAACAAAAGGTCAGGATGTGGTTTTGCTCCTTTCTTAGTAATTTGGAGAATGCCTGATAGAGATGCTAATCAAGCCTACCTGACAGCTAGCATACAGAGCCAGATAGGTAGATGTGGATGTAACTAAAAGCATTCACCTGGTTACCTAGGAAACAGAGCACTAATAATTCTACCCCTTAGTTTATGTTTTGATATATAAGGCTGTTTGGAGAATAAAGCAGGAGGAATTCTCCAGGATGTGAACTCAGGACTTCAAGAGGGATCACTGAGAATCTCCCTCCCAATAAAACCGTGTGAGTTGTCTTTATTCCTGTGCCTTCACGCCAGTCCAGAGAGAGATAGTTTATGTAGGGGTCTGGTCAAGAGAAATAATTTATGGTCCGAGCTAGCACCGGACCCAGACAACACCCTTATGCACATACCCAGACATATGCATATACATAACTGATAATGAGATAAATCTTCTTTTTTGTCCATTTTTTTATTGAGAAAAGGAGAAAAAAAAAGTTTCCACCTCCTCCCAGCCCTCCATTTCCCTCCCCCTCCTCCCACCCTTCTCTCCCTCCTCCCACTCTTCTCCCCCTCCCCCCACTCCTCTCTCCCTCCCTCTCCAGTCCAAAGAGCAGTCAGGGTTCCCTGCCCTGTGGTAAGTCCTAGGTCCTCCCCTCTCCGTCCATTTCTAGGAAGGTGAACATCCAAACTGGCTATGCTCCCACAAAGCCAGCACATTACGTAGGTTCAAAACCCCGTGCCATTGTCCTTGGGTTCTCATCAGCCCTCATTGTTCGCCATGCTCAGAGAGTCCAGTTTTATCCCATGCTTTTTCAGTCACAGTCCAGATAGCTGGCCTTGGTGAGCTCCCAATAGATCAGCTCCACTGTCTCAGTGGGTGGGTGCACCCCTCGTGGTCCCGACTTCTTTGCTCATGTTCTCCCTCCTTCTGCTCCTCATTGGGACCTTGGGAGCTCAGTCCAGTGCTCCAGTGTGGGTCTCTGTCTCTATCTCCATCCATCACCAGATGAAGGTTCTATGATGATATGCAAGATGGGGAGAGAAAAGGGAGAAGGGGAGAATGGGGGGAACTTGGGGAAAAAGGAGGATTGGGATAAAGGAAGGTTGGATAGGGGAGCACGGAAGCACAATTCTTAGTTAAGGGAGCCACCTTAGAGTTGGCAAGAGACTTGAACCTAGAGTGGCTCCCAGATGCCCAAGCCAAGGTCCCCAGTTAGTTCCTTGGGCAGCTGAGGATAGGGAACCTGAAATGACCCTATCCTCTAGCAATACTGATAAATCTTCTTTTAAAATTACTATTTAAGTCAAGTGGGTGGAGGCACATGCCTTAAGCCAGACACTCAGAAGGCAGAGACAGGTGAATCTGCGTGAGTTTGATGCCAGTCTGGTTCCAGGACAGCCAGGGTTACCCAGAAAAGGTGCCATAGAGTTAATATATGCCAGTCAACATCCTAATCAATTCATTCAAGCTTCATAATAACTTAGGAATTGAGTGGCAACTGTTACTACCATTTAGGAAAGAAACTATAAAATATATATAAGGCAAAAATACGTAAGGACCAAGTTTCACAGCCTGTAAACAGCAAAACCCGAACTGAGAAGTAGGAAGGTTGGCTCCAGGGTCTGCTTTTTGCCACCTGTACTGTGCAACAGTCACTGTTCCAGAGTGTTTGTATCCCATTTATATACTCAAGGTACAACTTTGGTTTTATTTCTTCAGTTGTAAACACAATGTCATAATAGCAAGAAACTAATCATCTGTATCATAAAATTTCTTTACCTCCCTCCCAGAAAAAAACTATAAAAATACTTGGAAGGACTCTTTTACTTCCAAACATACATAGGATATGCTCCTCTGCTTCCCGCAGTAATGTGGAATTGCTACTTAGCAACACTGTTTCTACGGAGTGATGAGAGTCCTTTAATGCAGAATACAGCTGGGAGGATATTACTTTAGACAGCACAGGGCTCAAGGACTGTGCTCCCCCAATCATTTGTGTCTTCGTTCTAAGGTGTTGCTATCAAATCTAGTCTGCCGTTGTCTGGAATAACTAATTGAAGAGGCCTCATTCTTCTGAACCTTAGTCAAGAGCCAAGAGGGAGCCCTTGATAGAAAATGTAATTTGTGTAGAGAGCTTGTTTACTGCATGCCTTGGACAGCTTAAGAAACTGTCACATAAATCTTGATACTGGACCTTGAAGACTCACCCTGGCTAATTAACTTAAGCAACTCTTCCTTCCAGTGTTTAGGAAAAGAAGCAGTGATGCAATCAATGTTCTAGGAATTGTGTCTTTAGACAAACAGAGCCTGCCCTGGGTGGGTCACCAGCCTCATCCTCTTCTAGAAGAGTCTCAAGGATAAAGTTGATGAATCACCTTGAAGCACCACATGAGATTAGAAGCAAATGCTCTGTAGTCCGGTCTGTACTGTTGCTACTTTGGGTCCGGGATGGGCAAGGAAGGAGCAGATCTGAGGATAAACACTTCTTCTGGAAGCTTCTAACATACATCTCTGCTTTACAGGATGCATTCCGGGCCATGCACCTTAATCTCAGTACTGTGCGGCTGTACCTCCAGCCACTGCTCATTGGAGAACTTTCTCCTGAAGAACCCAGCCAGGAGAAAAACAAAAATGTAAGTACAGCTGCAGGATCCACGGGCATATAACAACTGCGGATAAGGTATATTTCAAGGCCTAGTTATTTTTTTCTGTGAGAGTATGAATCTGTAGTGAAGTATGATAGTTCCCTATTATTTTCAGGGTGTACAGCCTAAGACTTTCCCTGAAATAATGGATGATATGAGCAGCATCTTCAAGCAGTATGAAGCTAGGAGAGTAGTTTTGACTACCAGGATGTCTGTTAAGTAAGTGGACAGAAGGTGGTAGGTTCATGAGGCTGTGGATGAAGGGGTAATTGAAGTTAAAGACAGAGTGGAGCAGATGGCAGGATATTCCATCATTATGCTCAAAACAAGGCATAACTTGCAAACTCTGGAATTTTCTTTTTAATACATTTTGACCAAGGATAACTAAAAGTAAATGAACCCACAGGAAAGAAAGAGGGCACTTTTCCCCTTGTATTGAAGTTAGACTCATTTCTCATATGATATTACCTAGTTATAGTTTTCCCATCTCTCTACTCCTCCTGCTTCTGCTTGTCTTTACCTTTCCATCAGAATACACTCCCTTTCTGTCTCTCATTAGAAAAGATCAGGTTTCTAAAAGATAATGATAAAATATAAAAACTAAAATATGAGATAAAATTAAAACCACCACAAGGACCATTAGTTTGTACAAGACAAACTAACAGAAGGAAAAGAACCCGAGGGAAGGCACATAAATCAGAGACCCATGCATTTACACACTTGAAAGCCCCAGAAAAACATGAAACTGGAAGACATAATGTATATGCAGAGTACCTGGGGCAGATCTGCACAAGATTTGTGAATGCTTTTGTCTCTGTGAGTTCAAAAGAGCTTTGCTCAGATTGATTTAGAGGGCCTTGTTTGCTTGGTGTCCTCCATCTCCTCTGGTTCTTACACACTTTCTGCCTCCTCTTCTGTGAGGTTCCCTGAGCTCTGAGGGAAGAAATATAGAAAAATCCCATTTAGGACTGAGCGTTCCAAGGTCTCCCTCACTTTCTGTGTAACGTCCTGCTGTAAGTTTCTACATTTGTTCCCATATGAAGGTAGAAGCTTTTCTAATGATGTCTGAATCAGAGTATAGCAGAATATCAACAGAAACACTATGTTTCATGGTTTTGCTATTATATTATATCAGTATTATTTGGTTTCACCCTAGTTCTCTGGGCTGTCTAGTCTCTGGTTCTTGGCCAACCGGCCCTTGTTGAGTTGAGTTACATCTCATGGATTTAGCCTTAATTCAAATCAGACATTGACTGGGTTACTTTACACAAACTTTGTGACATCCTTTCTTAGCATATCTTGCAGGCAGAACAACACTGTAGATCAAAGGGTTTGTGGTTGGCTGGGTGTTTACATTTCTCTTTTGGTAGCATGCAGAGTACTTTCTGTACTAAAGATACTGGAGTGTAGAAGTGAAGGCACCAGCTCAGCTTTTCCATGTCCAATGAGCTGTATAATGTTTTCCTCAGCAATGAGGTCTTGTTACCAGTTTGAAGAGAGCAATCTATTGTCTCAGCAAGAGCCTAAGTTATCTGGGGATTCCCATTGGACCTTGTTGGTCAAAAACTCAATGCACGTAACCTAATCCTGATACTGGAAACTTCATTTGGTGACAGGAGATGGTCATTTGGGGCTCCTTCTTCCCCATTATTTGACAATTTCTTTTAGATAATCTTCATATATGGTAATCTTTTAGGAAATTTCTATTGTATTAGTTTTCTATATTGCCTCTCAAATGTCACTCAGTTCTGTCTTTCCCCATCTTCCCTCCCTCAACCCCATTTCCCCTCATCTCTTGATCCTTCCACTCCAGACCCTCACCCATTCATTCATAATTATCTACTGTAGTTCCCTTTTCTAACAAGAGCTATATGTTCCCTCTAATACCTTACTCTATATTGTAGCTTTCTTATCATTGACTGATATCCATATCTAAGTGAGTACGTACCATTTTTATCTTCCTTGTTCTGGATTAACTCCCTGAAGATATTTTTTTCTAGTTCTATCGATTTCCTTGCAAATTTCATAATGTTATTTATTAAGTTGCTAAGTAATACTCCATTGTGTAAATGCACCACATTTTCTTTATCCATTCTTCTTTTGAGAGACATCTAGGATGTTTCCAATGTCTGGATATTAAGAATAGAGCAGCAGTGAACATGATTGACAAAGTGTCTCTGTGGTAGTAATGAAGCATCCTTTGGGTATATGCCGGCAAGAGTGGTATAGCTGGATCTTGAAACAGATGACACCTATCTTCCTGAAGAACCACCACCCTGAATTCCATAGTGGATGTCCAAGTTTGCACTCCCACCAGCAATGGAGGAGTGAGTTCCCCTTACTCCACATCTCCTCCAGCATGAGCTACCACTTGTTTTATTGATCTCTAAATAAGTAGACTCTGCATATTTCAAGTATCATATTTTTCCTTGGAAGATTTTCTCTTTATTTTTATAATTTCAAACATATATCTAATGAAATATGATCATACTTTATTATCATAGCAAAGCAATGGAATTTATCGTACTTCATCCTATACAAGGTCTATGTCTCTAAGCATTAATTCATGCCAGGCAACTTAGACCTGGTTTTATTTCTGTGGCTGTTTTTAATTATGTATTTGAAGCCTAACTAACCTCTGTTGCTTGGGAACAGAGACTATCATCTCATTTATTCTTGTGTCCTCCAAACTGCCTACACAGGATCAGACATGCAGCGAGACCTCTACAATTAGCTGTTGAATGAAAGATGTAAATAAATCTTAACCATGGCCCTTTTTATGCTTAGGGAAATTATCATTCAAAAATAAAAAATTGTGTTTTCTGAACACAGCTACTTTATCAAAGAACTGGGCCTCAAAACCACTTCTCTTTGGCCCAGTTTACTAACTGATCCCCAAGATGATTGTTCTTTTTTTTACTAGTTTGAGTGTTTTAAATACTGTCTTCTAATGCTTCTACATGACTAGAACATTGTTGGGATGATTTTGCCTAAAACGTAAAAGGATTTTACTTAATAACAAACAATTAGCTTGCTTGAAATTTATCTCTGTAGAAATTTAAATGTGTCCAGTATATAACCGGAAATCATCTATACAGAGAACTGGCTCATACAGTACTATGAAGTTGACAGTAAAAGCACCCAACAGCACAGTTCTGTCTAGAAGACTGGACTCTGAGGCTCACCCTAACCTGCTCATTTCAAACTCTCAAACTTCTCTGTGTCCTATTTTTTAAATGTAAAATAGTGACACTACCACTACCTTTTTGAATTATTGGGACCGTAATTCAAAAGAAAACATCTAAGATAATAAAATTGTATTTAAAACATAGTAAATTCTCCATAATAAAGATATCATTATCATGAACACAGTGGTGGTATCAGAAGTTACAAACCTCCATACATGTCCCCGTGGCTTGTAGCAGGTGACGATCCTGTGTTTAAAAGGGATTTTGATCCTGCTTAATGTGCTGGCTTGGTGGGAGCCTAGCCAGTTTGGATGTTCACCTTCCTAGATATGGACGGAGGGGGGAGGACCTAGGACTAACCACAGGGCAGGGAACCCTGACTGCTCTTTGGACTGGAGAGGGAGGGGGAAAGGAGTCGGGGGAGGGGGAGAAGGGTGGGAGGAGGGAGAGAAGGGTGGGAGGAGGGAGAGGGAAATGGGAGGCTGGGAGGAGGTGGAAACTTGTTTTTTTTTCTCCTTTTCTCAATAAAAAAAAATAAAAAAAAAAGTAATAGCAAAGGTTAATTGCTACTCCTAAAAAGTTTGCGAAAGGCAAACAAATTCAGCTAGCCTTTGAGGGATGGTCAGTTTTTAAACTATTGTTCTTCTCTGAGAACTCAGGTTGATTGAATTTTGAATTTTCTGTTTCACATCTGTGTAGCTACTGAAGCTACAACTGTAGACAACTGGCAAAACTGAGTGTCAGAAGGTGTACGCTTAAGTCCAACATCTGACGTTGGCTTGATAATTATTTTGAGGCAATTGCTCTTCTGAATTTTGGTAACCTCCTATTCTGTAAAATTTTACTGGAAAAGAAAAAGCCAGGAGAAACCCTAGAGACAAATTAATATCAGAAGCTAATTAAAAGTGCATATGGCCAGCAGAATTCCAATTTGATGGTTGTTGGACATAAGCTTATGGACATTTGGGCTGACAATGGGACCCTTAAAGGTTTCATCAATCACAAATACACCCACATGCATAAAAGAATGTGAAATCCACAAACAGTTAGGGGATATGTTTAAACTAATTTGGCCTAAATAAAGCACCATAAGCTCCTTCTATAATTTCACAGTTTGGTGATTGTGTAACCCAGGAACTAGGTTCTGTGATACTTCTTATTCATCTATCCATCTCCCAGAAGAATAAGCTTCTAGATATCTAGATGAAATACTCTCACCAGTAAAATGGATACATAGTGTATGTTGCTGAAAACAACACAAGTCGGTCTCCTTTAGCTGAGGTTCACTTTCAATAGTTTCAGTGAGCAACCAAAGTTCCATAACATCCCATACAAAATTCTAGAAAGAGCCGATGTATTCATCTTCAATTATTCTGAGTGGTACGACAAAATTTTTACCATCCTCCTTTGTTCTTTCTAGGATATGAATCATCTCTTTATGCAGTATAGTCAAAGTGTGTAATCACCTACCCATTTATCTTTTTAGTCATCCTGGTTATGAGGTGGGACTCTCTTCGGTTTCAAACATACACTGATAATTTTGATGCGTTTTCTCTGTGGGTAAGGAATCTACTGTTCAGGGTTTTACGCATTACAGAGTTCTTCAAAAACTCCTTCCATCTTTCTCCTGTTTGCTTCTCCTCTGTCCCTCCACACCTTCCAGGTCTTCTTCTTTCTCCTGCTATAAGGGAGAAAGAGTTTTTAATGCGAACCTATGTGACACGACAGTGCTTTCCCTACAGATGAATGTGTTGATTTCTGTGTTTCAGTCAGAGATGGTTATGCATGAGCATGTCATTCTTGAGCACATAAAGAAACTCGGGCCAACTCTGAGCCTTCGTAAGAAAAATTAGGGGCATGATATCACTCATAAAATTCCATATTCTAAACACCTAACTTCTCAGAAGTAGAAATCTATTATTGGAAAGTTGTCCCTGAAAATGAAGATTTAAGATGTGTATTAAAATGTAATTAAAATGTTAGACAAGCATCATTTCTCCTCATTTTAACTCTTTGCTTCTAAATGAATTACTTTGAATTTTCCATAAACAACTGTAAATGTTAGCATGTCGCACCCATTTATCTTCCCAGCCCCCGAAGGAACTAATCCCAACCTTGAATGTTTGTTTCACAGCCACAGTTGGTGGAAGATTTTCGGCAACTGCGCAAGACATTAGAGACCATGAATATGTTCAGTGCCAACCTGGGGTTCTTCTTTCTCCACCTTGCCCAGATCTTGGTTTTGGAAGTCCTAGCATGGCTAATACTACGTCATTTTGGCAGTGGCTGGACTGTTACAATACTCATTTCTTTTCTCCTTACAGTTTCTCAGGTAAGCAGGTGTCCTAAGCTTGGGCAGCAGCCTCAGACAGAAGCTTGGGGTGTTTTCATCCTTTTGTTTTTCATTTGAAAGCATCATGCATGCACTCAATATATTTTGATCATATTCAGTGCTCACTATCCCCTCCTAGCCCACTCAAGACACCACTCATTGTATCTCCCTGCCAACATCATGCCCATCTTTATAAATGATATTTTTTATCCCACTGAGTACAGTTAGCACTGCCCATATGCACAAGGAACTTTGCAACTTCTCTAACCTCCTTCTCTTTCATAGGCTCAAAGTTCGTTTTTACAACATGACATAGGACACAATTCCATGTTTAAGAAGTCCAAGTGGAACCGCCTGATGCACAAATTTGTAATGTGTCACCTCAAGGTACAGGATGTGAGGGATTATGATGGAGATTGGGAATGTAACCCTTAAGGCAGGGGTTGTTCTGTCCTGTATGTTCACTTGAAGCAGCAAAAAGCATTAAGTAAAAATATCTTTATAATATAGGTTTTATAATCATTATACTTAATATAACATTGCAAAATACAAAGCAAGATCAAGTTTAAGTTTTAAGAAGAATGTGTTTAGTGTTTATTTTTTTATGACTGATAAACTCTTTGGCTCAATTCACATTGTTCTCAGGAATATTCACAGAAGAATGTTTGTATCCTTAAAATCTTGATATGTTCTGGAAAATCATGAATGAAGATCTTCTTAGAAGAGACGTGAAGATTTTCCTTAGGGGAATTCATCAGATCTAATCAATCCTGGAAAGTTGAGGCTGAGTACATACAGGAAAAATGCTATCCCAGAAGACATACAAAAACTAAGATGAAGAATAGCTGAGGAAGGCTAGGTGATTCTATTGAAGAGGAGGATTGCAAGACTTCTGCTAGAGTTGAAAATAAAAACAGGCATTATTCTCTGAGAATGAAATGTGCTATCCTACACAGCAATAGTGAGTTCACATAGCTCTTTACTAAGCTTCTTGTGTGAATGAGTGAAAGCACAGATGAACAGAGATGACAGAACTGCACTGTTAAGGGCTTTGTCTCTGGCAATGCTCAGTATGCCATCATATTACCATGTGCGTCTCTGACCTTTTGTAACATCAGGAGATGAGTTGAATCTCAGCTTTTCTCTAAATGTTTACAGTTTAAATCAAGTATTCTGACTCAGAAATATGTACTCCCCTCCCCAAACAAACAAACAAACAAACAAAAACCATCTCAAACAAATCCTTTCCTTCAATCCCTTCAAGATAGATCCTCCTAGGGAAAGTCCTCAGGCACTGAGTCACCTTGTTTTTTCTTCTTTAGCGCAGTCTCTTTATATTACTTCTCAAAGACATTCACTTGGTTTTCCAGCCTGGAAACAGGCAATGCTTACTTCTCAAGGATATTCACCTGGTTTACCAGCCTGGAAATAGGCAACTAATTAACAGAGCAAAGAGAACTGAAGAGGATGCTAGAGCCAAAACCCTGGAGAGCAGTGAGTCGCTTGCAGCCATGTATAACAAATGATAAGGAATGGTTGAGCTCAAAGGAGATAAAGCCAAGTGCGGAGCTGTCTCCTTTGAGTCTCATTTTTGAGTCTTACACATAAGACTCACGAGATTGATAGTACAGAATCCTACTTTTCAGATAAGAGGAATCTTTAAGGGGATTGACTATCTAAGCCAATGTCTGCAAGCTGGCTATTTAGAAAAATTCATACCAGACTATTAAATAATACAGGCCAGAGTGGAGCTCCTCAATTTGAACTATCATTTGGAGGAAACTGAAGATCTTGGTAAATGTAGGTATGCCTAGACCACTAAAGATGGTCTGATTTAATTTATTTTCAGCAAGGCCTGGGTGTCAGCGCGGGTGAAGCTCTTTGGAAGCTTTGTGAATAATTCTAACCTAGAGCCAGCACTGAGAACTACTACTCCAACAATAGAACTGGGTCACTTTGAACAAGTTATTTAATGTTTTTGAACGTTAGTTTCTTTGTTGAAAAGAAAATGAAAACAGATGGATAAAAGCTTCAACCTGTGAGATTATTGGCAGTTATATGTGATATTTGAGTAGCAGGTGTAACAGTGTTTAGAAATAATCATGGAAGCTATTGATAATACAAGGAACAATATGTTCACAACCAGAATGAGGATCTAGAATCAATAAGAAAAATGTTTGATCATGATAGTACTAAGAAGTAGCCTATACGTCCGACTGCCATTGGGTTACAGAAATCATTTGTTCTTAGCCACTGTCTCTCTCATTCAGCTGATGGAGCCATGGTTAGACTAAGCAACAGAGCTGAACTTGCATTCCCATTAGAGACATGTCTGTCCCTCAAAAAGCAATTGCCACATTATATGACAAGATTTTTTTAATCAGAAAATTCCTAGAGTCATGTTCTTCTGTACCTATATCCACCTTTGCTAAGTAGATACATTTTCTGGATTCACTCTGAAATATCACAAAATAAAAACATAGGCTTTGTTTTTTCTGTCACTATGAGATCCAGGTAGTAAAGCTGCATGTGTTCCCTCCCCTAAGCTGAAGAGACAGAGGAATTAAAAGTCACTTGCCCTCAAGCTAATTAGAAGTTGGTTTGGTACCAACTATGTGGAATTTTCCGGTGAGTTCTACCCTTACTGGCTCTTTTTAGAGCCAGTGTTTCCCCGCTAATCCCAATTTACACAAAGGTCTTCCCATGCTATGTCTCTAAAAAGCAGTTTTCATAGTTTGAAATGTATGTATCTTTGACGACTCCTGACTTGAATGAGAAAATGGGAAGTGGCTCTAAAAGCAGAGCCTTTTAGCAGGCAAAGCCAGTGATTCATGAACAAAATAAACATAGGCTTCAACATGTACGGAAGAGAAAATTGCTTGTGGGGTGCTGAAGTGGGCGGGAAGGAGATGACAAAGAAAATTATATGCAGCAACATCCCCGCCTCTTATGATCATTACAACTTTAAATTTCAACACTAGGCCTAATATCTTTCCCCCCATAACTCAGAAAAGCATGGGTATTATTCAGCATCTTTCCAGTGTGTGTGTGTGTGTGTGTGTGTGTATGTGCATGATGTTTATAGTACACAAATAGTCAAATATCCTTTCTGAAAATGAACCATGAAATGTGAAATGTCTACATACATTTTGTATTTTGTGTATTACAGATCCAACATTCTTAATTAAAAACTTAAATGTGAAATGTTTCTAAATCTAAATATTTTTAACATCAAAATGATACCAGGAATGGAAAATTCCATATCATCGAACTTTGATTCATGCCAAAATATTCTTTAAAATGCTAAATAAATTTATCTCCAGGACAAGGTATATGGGAAACAAATGAGTTTTAGATTTAGATTTAATTCTCATCTCCATATCTCACACTGTATATGTACAAATATCCCAAAGGGTCTTTTTTAAATGAAATTAAAGATATTATTGACCCCTGAGATAGACATCAGGTAACATTTTTTTCAAGATCTCCCTATATGAAAATTTTACAAATAGTAAGAATCCTGTATCATTATAGAGATAATGGAGCAGACTATTCCATGTTTAAGACCTGACCTGACATCTGTGACTATATTCTAAAGATATGGTGGAAAGGAAGAGGAAGAGCTGCATCCATATCCTGGTTAAGGATATTTCCTAAGTCACACACCTAGTAGATGTCCAAACAAGAATTTAAATTTCATTTGACATCAGTCTAAAGCCTAGATTCCTTCTCCTGCACCAAATTAAGGACATAATTTAGAAATAAGGAATGACCTAAGTAAGACTCACATAGAACTGTCTCGGGTAGCCAGGCATATGGCTGAAAGTCCTCTCCTGCCCATGAAGAACTCCCCTTTGTCTCTGGTAAGAATGTTTTCCAGACACGGGGTTCAGGTAGAACTGGTTGTTTAGTTCACACCCAACATTATGTTGGCCACTGTTCTAACCTCTAGGGCTTTTTGCTATTAAGATCTGTTCCCAGATCTACTGTGCATCAAAACCTGTCTTCCATGATACCAGTTACCACAGGTAGTCATTGCCTAAAAGGGCAGTCAGCTGGTGAAAGTAGCCAAAATATCAGCTGTGGGAAAAGATAATTTAAAAAGAGAATCATTTCTTATCATGCAGCATTTTGCTGTCAACAGTTCCCATTAGATTGTATATTACTAGTGTGGGAACCTCTTATTTCACACCTTTCTTAGTATCCTAAGTGCCTGCCTAGCTCAGAATCTGACATACTTCAAGATGATTAACCAATGAGTGAAAAGGGGAATGACTGTGTAGCCTGACAGGAAGAGGACTGAGTGTAATGAGACCCCACAGGCGAGTGATAAATACAACTTGGGACAAAAGTATGAGCAACCATAAGGTATCTGGGAAGTGACTCCCCAGGCAGTCAGGAAATAGATATTAAGTGGAGTTTGAAATCCCACTGTAAAAGTGTTAGGAAGTGTTGGAGGGTAAAGGGAACACACATCCATTCTTTTTGTTTGTGAGTAGGTAGATAACTGCAATGTCTCAGAGTAGAACTTCCAGAAAGAAGATGGAAAGGCAGGGCTAATGCTCACGGGCTTTCAAAGCATACTCATCACCTTTGAGGTGTGAGGTTTATACACCATGTTTCTCCAGTAGGAACAGTATATAAGCTATATTAAAATGACATTGTAAGACCAAGGTGCCTGCTGTTAGATCATGTCCCCTGGGCATAACAATGAAAATGCATTCACAGACCCTCAACAATAAGATTCCCTAAACAAAGCTAGCATAATGACAACAGCAACAGGCATACCAACATGGACATGGGCAATACTACAAAGTCCTACCCATAGACCAAGAGCTAGAGGCGATCAGCAGCTATTGAGAGAGGGAGAATCTCCTCAAGAGACTAACTCCGCATAGAGTCTACTCCCAAGAAGTCAGCATCGACACATGTACATATGAGTAAGACTAAATGGACTCAATGGCTGTATGTGTAGGCATATGCATGTATAAATGTATATGGGTACATATGTGTACATATGCATATGTAACAATAGCAATTAAAGAAGAGGTCATGACCTTGGGTGGGAGTGTAGGGTACACAAAAGTAGTCAGAGGGGTGAAGATGTAGATAGACACAGTATTGTATGAATTCTCAAAATGAAAAACTTTCGAAAGGACATCCTTCTTCAGTTTTATATAGCCATATTTAAACTGCTTATTTAAATCTATAATAAAATATCCAAAATACTATGACTTAAATCTGTGATCAACCTAAAAATTAGTGAAATATTTTGCATCTATTTTGTGTACTGATTCTGCAAAATGAATCTTGAGACTTAGTTTATCTAGCCACAAATAGTAGCTTCTATAATGGACAGCGATGATCTATAATATGTAAACATGGATTATTAAGAGATGGAAAATGTGGTAATAAAAATATTACTGCTGTTCATTCTTCTGTAAACAGCACAAATAAGAAGCCACTGGGTCTCTCAAAAAGCCAGCGCTGTTGCTTCAGCATCTCACATCTTTCTGAGCCGTCCATGGAACTAAATGTTACCATGCAGAGATGGAATTAATTGAGCTTCAAAGAAGATGAATGATTTGCCAAAAGCTACACATCAGATTTTAAACAGCTAGTATATGAAAGAAGATTGAGAGACCTCAAATCTTTTGCTTTATCAAAACTCTCAAACTTAGAGTGAGAAAGAAAATCATGAGCAGAATAATCAAAGATGATTCTACCTTGGCTCCAGCTAGAAAGTTTTTATTCTCATTTGTTTTCATAGAAGAGCAGTAAGCTGGGACTTGCAATGATCTGAGCAGAGGCCTCCAAGGAGAGAGAACACAGATTCTTGACTCTTTGAAATATTCATTGAAGTCAGATTCCTAGGGTCACTTTTTCCTCCATAGCTAATTAGAAGTCTTAACTGTGAGGCTCCTTTATATGTAAAATAGGAATACAGCTCTCTGCTCCATCTACCTTCAGAATCATTTTTTAGATTTGGCTCCTATAAAAGAAGGCTAGAAAACCATTTCATATGAGTACATTATGTTTCCCTTCTCAGGAGATCTTCTTAGCCTGAAGTCATGTTCTTGAATTAGAAAAGTATTTCTTCCTAGCTCTGAGCACCTTTGTCTAATCATCCTGTGGCCCAGCATCAGGGTCAGCTAGAGAAACCAATCTCTTATTTTCTCTTTGAAGATTCAGAACACTCCAACAATGAGGGGTGCCTGGGGAGAAAATTCTATTAGTTAATTAATTCTCTCTTCTCCTCAGGGCCTCTCCGCTGACTGGTGGAATTATCGACACTTCCAGCATCATGTGAAACCAAACATCTACCCCAAGGATCCAGACATAGATTTGGGCCCACTTTTCCTGGTTGGAGATACTCAGCCTGTCAAGGTGCATTTAGCAACCATGTTAGGAAAATGTTCCTGGAAGTGATCCTTCTCATGGAAAGGTCAATTTTGATTGTTCTAACTACACAGAGGATCTCAGAGCTTCTCTCCCTTTTAAGGTCCAGATAAAGACCCGAATAGGAAAGTCTAGGGTTATAAGTATAAAAGAAGTTTAAGAGTTCTAAATTTTTGACCATAAATGTCACTCAGTCCAGACTCCCACAGCAGAAGATATAATAACCTGTATCACCCTGCTTGAGCAATCCCAATGACAGGTTTACTTCTAGTCCTTATCACTACCTCTGAGGTAACATAAACTATTTTCAGGGAGTAGAATCAGATTACAAGGGCCAACATTAGTTTTCAAAGCAAGGATATGAAGAAAGGTCACTGAGAGAAAATAAACTTAGTGCATTTGGTTAGCACTAGACTGCAAATATCTAAACAACTGGTTGACTCAACTCATTCTAGTCTAGTTAAAAGAGATATTCATTTTTGGTATGTTTGATTTATATGAGCCACATTGCTCAATGACTTATATAACAGGTGTAGATCCAACTCATAATTTGGACTTTTAAACAGAAACTGGTATGTTAAAGTAATATGCTGAATTTTTCAGTCATTGATTCTTCTTTAAAATCTCAACTTTAGTCTGTTATATAAGAGTATTTAAATTACTGAGTTTTATAGGAAAAAGAGAGTTCCTTAAACAAAGGAAGCATCCTGACTGAAGTTTACCCTTTATCTAGGAGAATGATCTCTCCCGACAACCACATACTTTCACACAGATCTCTATCTTCTAGAAGAACTTAAGAGTATTAGGAAATTTATTTCATCTTTGTTGCTTGTTGCCTGAACCTGTTTAACACAGCATGCAAAAACAGTGTAACTTTTAGAAGTTTTTTTTTCCATCTTTGAGGAACTTATCATCTGCCCCAAATAAGGGAGAACATAAAGGTTCTTGCTTAAGTATGTGCCAAAGATGTTACCTACTATTACGAACGAATTGCTTTTGACAACTGTTTGATTCCCCTGGTGCTTGTGGACTTCCATGCTCCACACTAGAATAGTGATGTGTTTGTGTCTTTGACATACCTCCCCAGAGCACAGGTAAGGAAGTAACTTGACTCCCTCCAAATCACCTTCTAGAGAGCTGCGCTTAGCATAAATGCTGCCACTTCACAAATATGGAAACCATCTCAATAGATTCTGAAAGATACCTGTGGGCCCACTCACAGAATGTTTGTTCGAGGTCTAGATGCTACAGCCTACAGCATGAACTGCAGTTATTCCATCTCTGAAACTCAATATTTTATTTCCACAGAGTGATGTCTGAGTTACGAGTTTTTCCTATCATATATCCTCCCTGAAAGCCTTTCAAACCTTAGCCCATTATTCAAACAGGACTTTCTTAGCCCACTTTGACTGTCCAGAAAGACTTAATGTCTTTATTCAGGGTGGTACTCAACAAGTCCGTCTAGGCTTATCAGGTCCCAAGCATATTCCATCTCACCCCTTTCCGGTGTTTCTCACTACTTACGTGTCTGGAAACTTGAGAGCAACCACAAATAGATATTAGTATTTCATCACCATAATATTTCTTTGTATTTATGGTAATAAAAGCAGGTGCTAGATGCATTATCTATATAAAGGAAGATTTCTATACATAGAAGGGCAAGGGACAACAAAATAAAATGAGTCCAACACGTCCTCTAATATTGTGACTTACTTACCAGAGGGAAACAAAGAGTGTGTATGAATTAACATTCACTCATTTAATCCCTTAATGAATGTCAGCTAGATATTATAGGTATACAATCATTAATCCTATGCCTTAAAGTAATTGCTACCATTGCATCCTGAGCATGGATCAGACTTATCAAGAAATCCAGGAAATGAATCATATTCTAATTTCTGAGTGGAATCATATAGTTGCACATGATGAGAAACTGCATATAATGTTTATAAAAATATTATATACACTATCGTGATGTTTCAGTATAGTAATTGAAACTCAAGACAAGAATGTAAAAGAAAAGAGAGGAGAGAAAGGGGAGGTAGCCTGTATATCCCTTTTGTCACAAAGCCTCTTAGTGAGCTTCCATTAGATGGGGACAGTAGAGACAGAGACAGAATTTCAAGCTAAAGTATAAGCACCACAGTTAATGAGAGCGTAAAAGAACTCACAGAAACGTTTATTCTGAAGTTAACATTGCGTGAGAAGAGAATGAATTTCAGTGTTTTAAATATAAAAAATATTAAATTTTTATTTAGTTGAGAATTATTTAAAAATGATAGTAAACTCTGAGCAAGAGTTACCCTCAGTTAAAGTGGCTATTTACTCCCAAGCCTGCTCTGGTTCTTCTAGTGTCTCAAGTTTGATAGGCAGTGAGTCCTAAATTCACACCTCCCCTCTCTCATCCCTTCCCACTCCATCTCTGTCTCTCTCTTCCTCTCTGTGTCTGCCTCCTCTCTCTCTCTCTCTCTCTCTCTCTCTCTCTCTCTCTCTCTCACACACACACACACACACACACACACACACACACACGTGCTAGAGAATAATGACTTTTTCTTTTATCCTCTGCCCTTGTAGTATGGCAAGAAGAAAATCAAATACATTGACTATGAGAAGCAGCACCTATACTTCTACATGGGTGAGTCTCCTGCAGCCACTTTTCTTGTCAGTGAGCCATGCTGAAGGCATGATTGGAACTGTCTCACAGAAACCAACTCGTATCTGATTTGTTCATGAGAAAATAAACAGATCTTATTTCAGACTCACTGGTGGGAAAGTATGAAATGAAAATAGAAAAGTAAACAGGCATTTCTAACAGGTGCCTCATCATACTAGGTATTTGGCAAGAAATAAAAGATATACTTAAAGAGGGTCAGAATGCTAAAAAGGGAGTCAACACCCTTGTATGAGAAAATTTTAACAACATTGAAATAAAAGAAAAATAACCCTTTGTAATGAAAAAAAGAGGTAGAAAAACAACATGAAAAAAATTGCGGTGTGGTACCAGAAAAAGCAGACCCCCAAGATAAAGAGCATCGAGAAAGTTTCTACATGGAAGAAACCTTGCAGCTGCTGAGATCAGCAAGCAGCTATAACATATGCACGTAAATCAGACACTTAGATGATAGGTAAGTGGATAGATAGATAGATAGATAGATAGATGATAGATAGATGTAGGTAGGTAGGTAGGAAGGTAGAAAGGTAGGTAGACAGACAGACAGATGACAGAGAAAGAGATCTTACACTATAATGCCAAGCTTGAAAGCAAAACCATTTAGTTTACTAATTCTGATAGCAATATTAATATTCTTATTAAATAAAATCAAACTCCTGGTAACTTATGAACAAGTTTTCAAGTAACTCCAAAGTCCATCAATCTAAAACATACTTGCACATCTAGAAACACACTAACATCAGGGAAGGAAACAAACACCACCTGAACACCACAGGTTGTCTACCGAGGATATGTTCTCTCAGGGGACATTTGAACAAGGTCTAGAGACATTCTTGCTTCTCAGTATGGAAGGGAAGGGGTATAATTTCAAAAATCCTATAATGCACAGGAAAAGTCCATCATAATACATGATTGCCCAGCCATATAATTCAATACTTCTGAGACTGAGAAACCCTCACAGTGGCCTATTTGCCCACGTAGGCAACTAGTGGTCACTTGTAACATGCCTATGGAAGATGGCCACTAGATGAATTATTTATCAAGTAGGCTTGCATCTCTCTTCCACACTGGGATTTGGTGTCTCCACCTGGTACCCATCACTGCACCCTTTTTATGCCAATTTCCAAATCGCAGCTGCCACTGAACATGTAGTTTCACAAAAAAGCATTTATTCTCTGAACTTTGCTAAGTACTATGTCTTCACATCACATTTCTGTAACTGTTAAATACCCCCTTAGCTTATAAACAGTGAGGACAGAGTATAAACTCACTCCAGCATGCCTACGCCACAAACCCTCCACGGTTTCTTGGTGCCACTTCTCCTTGAAATGCCAGTTGAGCCTCTTATGTATAAATAAGTCCAGTTGTCACAGAGAAACATGGCCATGAACTTGTTAAAGATGACTAGGAAAATTTTGTTCAGACTAATGCAAAAGGAGAGAGGAGCTTCAGTACCACTTTAGCTAAACTCTGCAGAAACAAATGGCGAGCAGGGAAAGTTTTCCAAATACTAAAGAAATGCATTGAAAGATACTGACCTCCCAGTCGGAAGGAGTGTGATACAGTTAGACCATCTCTGCAACTGGCGTTCACTGGTGCTGGGCTTTGTTCCCACTGGAAAAGAGGCTTTGTTTATAATATTTCAAGAGGAAGGTCCCCTGGTCCTTGAGTTCCAGCAAATAAATCTCAAAGGAAGAGAGAAATGATTTGCAGTTAGACATAGCCTAAATAATTCTCTATGGAAAATGATGCCAGGTTCCTCTTATCAAGGGGGATGGGACAAAGTAAATTGTTCTGGCAGCATTTGGTTTTCCCAAGTGGGAACTTTAAGGAAGCTGAGTGTCCTGGCTTTGAGCTGCTACAGTGAGTATGTGTGAAATCGATTGTGCTGACAATTAGCGATCCTCATGGATCAAGCTTGGGATCTAGTTGAGAACGAAGCTCAAAGGAAGCTAGCTAAAGTTTGACCAGGGAAAAAATATTGGTCCACAGTCTAAGAGTCTCTCGGAGATTGTTTTGTGCTCTCGGAAGCCTTACTGATGTGATGAGAAAATCAGGTAGATAGCTCTCTGTCCAGAAAACGAGCACACGACTTCATTCCTGTCATACTGAAGTATTGTGACAGAATCAATATCTGAGGACTTAGAGGGCCTAAAAGACTCCAGAACCTAAGAAAACCTTGAAAGATCACAACAGAAGAGTGGGGAAGTGTCTATCAGAATGACTCTTACTTACAGGATTTCATTAGCTACTTCGGGAAACTTGCACCTGCAATTGTTGGCCAAATTATCCCCCCCCCCCGTCCCCCTCGTCCCTGACGTGTGAAAGCCCAATGGAGTTTAGAATGTGGTTCTGGGTATCAACCCTTCTCAAAGCCAACCCTCTAGGAAGGGCATGTGGAATAGACAAACACCTACTGACTTGCACCAGGGTTCACATTGCTCATTTATCCATCAACTTTCTTTCGGATCTCTTTCAGTTGCTCTTCCCCTCCTCATGCCTGTCTACTTCAATCTCCAATCCATGCAAGTGATGTACCTTCGAAAGTACTGGGTGGTGAGTTGAGTTACTTATCCCATCTTCAAAACCTAGACCAGATAGAAAATGAGTTGAAAGTGCTGCTTGTTCTCCAGGTGTAACAGGACATCTGATTGAGAAAGTATCCAAAGAACGGGATCTGGAACCATGTTTAAGACTTCTTACCAAAATGTTTATCTCTGCAGGACATTGCTTGGGTCAGCAGCTTTTACCTTCGGTATTTCATCACATTTGGACCTTTCTATGGCATTTTTGGAACGGTGTTGCTCATATATTTGGTCAAGTAAGAATATTTTTTTTATTTCTATAACCTTGTTTTTTACCAGAAACATTTGTAGTTAGTAAAATATGATAACAGCATGATCCACTGCCATGAGAAGTTTGAAAGCAAGCTGAAAGGTGGTAGTTTAAAGGATTGAACAACACAAGCTCCCTCTAAGAATTTGTCCCGGTTGAATCTCCCCTTCTTCCTTAGATTTCCAACTAAGCCATGCCAGTTGTTCTTTGAAGGCATTGTAGCTTAAGAGGTTTGACACCAGAAACTCTGTCAAGAATCATCATGAAGCAAGAAAAGTTCTATCATGACGAGAAATTTTTCTACAAACCAAAAGGGCTTCAAACCACTATTTTGCATACATAGCCCTTCCCAAACTTCTAATTTGTTTCTTTCTCATTCAGCTGCATTGTTATATTAAACTCTTACTAGTTTTAAGGATAATGAGAGCAACTGTGCATCAGACAGCCGGTTAAAGGCTTGACAGTCGTCGCTTTGTTTGATGTAATCCCCACACAGTCTTATGATGTAGATAGTATCATCTTTCTTTCTTTCCGCTCAGGGAACTGAAGCTTGGAGAGATTAAATCACTTGCCTAAGGTAACAGAACAAGTAAGGGCCAAGAAAGATGTCAAGACAGAACTTGAACCCAGCTCTATCTGATGGCAAACTGTCAATTGCTTTACAAATGCCCTTAGCGAACCTGGTAATTTTCTTTTCTTGTGCTGGGAATTGAACTAGGCTTCACACATGCCAGGCAAGCACTCAGCCACTGGTATATTTCATCCTTGCACCAAAGCTAGAGTAGACTGCTTCCAGGTCGTGCTCCTGTGAGTTAGGAAGTAGTACAAAGCATATTGTCAAATACTTGTGTGTCAACCCTAGTGAGAATTGGCATTAAAAGAGGAAATGGAACGCCGTTAGAACCTTAGAACCTTGTTCATTTTCTCCAGTGTTTGGCCAGTTCAGCCAGAGGTCATGCAAGCTCAGTGATTTCAACTAAAACACACCAAAGGAGTCACCAAGACTACTTTGTATTCCTCCAAAGGTTTATTGAGAGCCCCTGGATTGCCTATGTTACCCAGATGAGTCACATACCAATGAAAATGAGCAAGGATGAGAATCACGACTGGCTCAGCACTCAGGTGATGGTGGCATTCCCAAGGGACAATCCTTCTAGCCAGACGGTCTTATAATCTGTTTGCCTTAAACAATAATGGTAACTTGCCTTCATAAAGCACTTCCCTGAGGACAGGCACTGTGCAATGGTTTGCATTTAACTACACAAGGAGGACATAATGATGATTCTCACCTTACAAAATGATAAAATTGACTTGTAAAAAAGGTTGGTAACTTGTATGTGGGCACACAACTAATAAGGATTGCAGCAGCTTTTATTTATTTATTTTTTTTGGTTTTTTTTTTTTTTCGAGACAGGGTTTCTCTGTAGCTTTGGTGCCGGTCACAGAACTAGCTCTTGTAGACCAGGCTGGCCTCGAACTCACAGAGATCCGCCTGCCTCTGCCTCCCGAGTGCTGGGATTAAAGGTGTGCGCCACCACCGCCCGGCTTGCAGCAGCTTTTAAACGTAAGCAGTTTAATTATAGAATCTTGCATGCAAAGTACAAATCAGTCACCTGTAATCCAACAGCCGAATCTGACCCACTGATTGTTTGTACATATAAAGTTTGACTGAGGCATTATCATGTTCAGTTATTTATATATTATCCATGGCCACTTCCTTGCTATGAAAATATTACTGATGATAAAATTAAGAAATTTAGTATTGAAACTCTAAACTACTCCCTATTCAATACAACATGACTAGCCCTGAAATTGTATACACACAAACAATAATGCATATATTTGTGCATACATGGACATATATATGGAACAACAGTAATCAAAGGAAAAGGCTATAACTTTGAAAATAGAATGTGGCATTGAAGGAGTTGGGGGAGAGTATTTGGGAAGGACTGTAAAAGGAAAATGAAGGGAGGAAGTGTTATAATTCTATTTTGGTAAGAAATGGGTGTTTAAAAAAATCTAAAGATAAGATTAATTACCTGGGAATTCATAGAAAATTGTGCTGACTTCCTATTCTAATCACTCATGTAACAAAGCCTTTCAAGTAAATATAAGACTCAAAATTCTAGGATGAGTTGTACACCAGGAGGGACCCTAGAAATGATGATTTTACTATATGGGCCACACATTTCAGAGAGGGATCATGGTGTGCTCACCACACATGCAGCTAATGCTTAGCAAAGTGATGGCGAACCCAAAACATTCCTGCCTCCTAACTCATGGTTCTTTCCACTGGCTCTGTTACCGTAATGGGGAATTTGGTCATTATCTCGTTTATTTCCAGGCTCATACACAAACTCAGAAAACCTCACCCTTTACAGTCGAAGAATGCTTCTCAGGCATTCAGCCAAAGAACTACTTCTGTATCTTCTAGTTTTTACTCATTTCTTTAGTCATTAGTTAGACTAGGTGCTTCCCACATTCATGTTAGATTTACATACCATTTATATTAATTGTTTCCCAGAATACTTGACCTTTCATTTATGTGAGCATTAATACTTTTTTGATGATATATTATAAAGTAGGGCTTTTAAAACATTCCCATATTGTAAACATGTTTTTACCTGGTACTTAACCCTGTAATTTTATTGTAGACTTTATTAATATTTTATTATTTTATATCACTCAGAATACCTCAAGTCCTAACCATATATTTTCCACAACATTTCTTAAAAAAAAAAAAACTCATCTCAACCAAACTCCTTATTCATGACTGCTTACTCTTCTGTGTCTAAGGAATGGCTGTGACATTTTCTCCTTCAATCCTATATATTCCTTCATATGTACTTCTTAGCAAAATATTCTAGTGTGTTTTAAATGGTAAGCTTCATGAAGGGTGGGACTTTGTTGTGTATCACTCATAGTTACTAAAAATAAACAAATAACAACCCTGGGTTAATAGGTGAGTCCATGAAATAAGTAGCATTTTCAACACTTGCGGTCACTTACAGCTAATGAAAGCTCTTTCTTGACAGATTGTGGCCACCTGCAATATTGAGCAGTCCTTTTTCAATGATTGGTTCACTGGGCACTTGAACTTCCAAATTGAACATCAGTAAGTGAAGCGTATGATCCGTTATGGAGCCAGGGCTGACCCAATATAGCAGAGTCGGCAACCGTTCAGTGAAGAGCCTCAGAGAATTAAGAAGCTTAACCAAGGTTCTCTAAAGACTGCTTGCCATCAGTGCCAGTGGTTGGGTTGGGAAGGGAAGAAGTGGAAATCTAAAGGTTGTGGAAAGCAAACTGGAATTACAGAAATGGACCAGTAGCTTTGCTTCCATATATTATGAGTATTGAGAACTGGTGACGTCTATAGGTCAGGGAGGAGGGAGGTATGTAGATGGATGAATGCATGTGCCCACGCATATTTTATTTGCTAATGAAACCTAAGAAAAAGTATAGCACCAAGTAACCATGATTTATTGAAATTTAAGTATATTAATGTAAGTATCATTAAATAATCATCAATGAAATCCAGTCACTTTTGCAATTCTCAGGTGAATCTGAAGATACTTTCCCAATCAATCAGTTAAGTGGAGATGCAATAAAGAAATGGAAAGTGATAATACTTGGATAGCTCATCTTCCCCAGAATATGCAGCAAGATGCATCTCATGATTCCTTCTGTGAAGCTGCATCTAGGAGTCAGAGAAAGAAACTCTTATGTTCTTAATGCTGTTTTCTCATTCTTTATTCTTAGTCAATCCTTGAACACCCTAGAAAACGAAGAACCACAATCCTTATATTATTAAAGAAAGTGTTCAGATCCAGGAAGATTACTTGCCTAATTTATGGCCAAACCTTAGATAAAAGTCATACCTTCTTGCCACAAATTCCAATCTGAGAACTTTTTTGCATTCCTTTTTTTTTTCAATTTAAAACAATCTTATTTTACATAACAATACCAGTTCCCTCTCTCTCCCCACCTCCCACTTTCCCCACCTTCCTTCCACCCCACTCCCATCCAGTCCTTAAAGAGGGACAAAGTATGTAATATTACTTGAGGCAGGACCAACTTACTTTTAAATATCACAGCCAGACCCAAGTGAGTGACTATTTGACTGTTCAACAGATAGGTTTTACATAGGAAGAATGAAAGAGAGTCAAGAATGGGAAAGATGTAATCTTTTGCTCTCCCAGGTAATTCAAAATGCTAGCTTATCCATATTCTCATTTGACCTGACCAAAACTAAGCATATTAAATGGAGTTAATATTTATTCTCTTAGCACTTCCCAAATGCTTGTCATCCACATGACTTACAGAGATGTTGAAAGATAGAAGTTTGGGGAATAGGCACTCTGGCTTTCTAGAAAGCTTGTGCGAGGTCAAGGTTGGGTCTGCATTATTAGTGAGAGTTTATTTAGAAATAAATAAAACTTCTTTGTGTTTCTCTTCAGGTGTAAGTTTCACATCTCCTGTTTGTTTTCTTAGCCTCTTCCCAACAATGCCACGCCATAATTATCACAAAGTGGCACCTCTGGTAAAGTCACTGTGTGCCAAGCACGGATTGCAGTATATAAATAAGCCCATATTGAAGGCATTTGGAGATATTGTCAGGTAATAACATCATTTATCTTTGCTCATAGCTCTAATTTCCCTTTCTTCCAAGCTTTTCAGAAACTTTTGAATCTTTCACCCAACAACCATTCATTCATGAAGAGACACCAGTATTGACAATAATAATGACATATAAATATCTACTATTTATCTGCTAGACTCTAGGTATTTCTTAGTGGAAATACCCCAGTGTCCTACATAGTTCAAATGTCTTGAAATCGTGGTTATGTAGGATTTGTCTTTTTATTCCATATAGATCCCTGGACATGTTTTAGACTTTAACATGATAGGAATGACCATCAAATCTTTTGATCCACTGGAGAAATTGTTACCAAATGTTATTCATGATGGCATGAATCAGTCTGGGTAACCAGCCATGCCTAATGAGTCTAGCAGCAAATCCATGTGCATATGTATGCATTTCCTTGCAGGACATGGGACTGGACAAATTTACAACCACTGGTCTGAGTTTAATAAAGTTCTCTTTTTTAAAAATACCAGAGGAATATTGTAAAGGCCATCATGGTCACATGTGATCTCATCTGCCTCTGTCAGTTTCTCCGCATCCTTCTTCCTCTTTGTCATGCAGATATCTGGTCTACCTTCAGTTGCTCCAAAACTCCCTATGCCTGAGTATCTCATCCCTTTGCCATGTTTCTTCTGCCTGCAACATGCTTCAAAACTACTTCTCATTTCACCTTCTCAGTTCCCTACCACTCTCTAAGGCTCATTGCAATATTTCCCTTATGTCAGCCTTCACTGGTCTCAAGACTAAATAAATCTATCTTTATCACAGTCTTTGTCATAGCCTTGATTAAAGAGCTTGCTGAGTAAACAATTATTTAATGCTTATCTTTCAATTAAGGCCAAAAGTGTATATGAAAAGGATTAGTTTCTGTCTCTGTTGATATTACCTATGAAGATCCTAGAAATACATCTTCTATTATAAAATAGATAGGTAGGTGAATATGGTATGAGTTAATATATAAGCATATTGTATAAAAATAGTAAAATAAAAACAAAACTCAAACTTTGCTGGAAGAAAGCCAAACTCATCTGCTGAAGGGAATTCAGTGCCTTTGATGTCCTTCTCTGATGAACAGATAGTGACACTTACCAAAAGCGGCTAGAAACTACATTTTCTTAAAACAAGCAAAGCACCCAAAAATTTCATGGGAAATTCCTTTGCATTGAGTTTTATTTTCTGACTATTTTGTTTACTCCTCTAGGTCCTTAAAGAAGTCTGCTGCACTCTGGATGGAAGCTTACTATGAATGATGGAGAGTTGTGCACTTATTGGTGTCTCTAGAGGGGGTGGTGCCCATGCAAGAGCTTTTGTCTGATTAACTGAGAATTAGCTGGCAGTGTTGGCACAGCTGGGAGTGCCAGGAATGTGAATCCCAAAGGCACATGTAAACTTTGAAGATCTCCTCTGTAACTGAGAGGGGGGAGAAACACAGGTGACTTTGGTCAGACTAATCAAAGGGAAATGGTAGCTCACCGTTTCAACGTTTTCAGTAGGATTTTGGACCTAGTGAAACTGTTATCACATGGAGTATAAGATGATGTGGACATAAATGGAATGGAGAAAAGTAATAAAGATCTCTGACAAAGTCCACTGGAAATCAGTGTAATGGTTCTTAGAAGAGAATTTTTTTTATTTAAGACATTCCTTCTGAAATACAAATTTTTGCTTACTTCCTTTCAAATAAGTAAACTTCTTTAAAAATTTGTCATAATTAACATTAAAATATCTTCATATGTTCATCTTCACCTTGGATTTTCTGTATTGTGGTTAACATGTGTGTAGTTAGTGTACACATGCATGTGTTTCTATGTGGAGAAATTAGAATTTCTCTAAAGTCTCCTTAAAGAATTAACAAACTCCAATCCCAGTAACAGTTGATAAAGAATATCTGTTTAAAGGTGCTTCTGTTTGGCTAAAGAATATAGTGTTTCTTGAATATAGGACTAGATTTCTTACTCCCCACCCAACAAAACAAAACTCCCCAAATGGGAATCACTTACTGGATCACTTGGGTGAAGGGAAGAACTATGGGCTATATTAAGCCATTTTCTCAAGCAGCAAATTCAGCCTACTCGTAACCATTTTCTCTCTCATGAGTGAATTTCGCAAGTGATCACTATTTCTATTTTTTTTTGTTCAGTCTTGGTTTCAGCCCATATTTCTAGGAACTTGCCCTCCTTTTACAGATTTTCTAACTCTTGATAATTGTTTGTAGTGATCTCTTGGGATCTTCTGTCTGTTGGTTACTAAAAGGCACACACTAATGAATGGACGTTTTCTGACCACACTGGTTTCTTTTGTTAAACTATTCATAAAGGATATAATAAAACTTGACTTTACTTGTAGGGAGAAAGCATGTCAGGACAAGACTTTCTTCTATAGCTCTAAGCAAAGAAGTGTTGCTGGCTGATCTGTTGTCTGAAGTCTTCGGTAGGCTTTCATGTCATTCACTCTCCCAAAGGTCTTAAAAATACTCCAGACTTGTTTGCATCCTGATCGAATTCCCTGCAAAGAACAGCACATTCAATTCCTCACTATTTCTGCAGGTTCACAAACACACATACCAAAGGTAAGAAAATAGGAATCAACTCTCTGGAGAAGAAAGTTATGATTATGAAATGGTCATAATGCCCAATAAGAAATTTGAGCAAGAAGATGAGAAGAATTCAGAACTCTGTTGACTCAGTGATTCTTCCCAGTGTTAGTAGAGCCAAGGGTAATTTCTCCTGCCTAGACTCAAACATGCATGTGGGGTGAAATTGCAATTTGGTGGGTGTCCCTAGGTGTACCTGGTTCAGTTCCTAGATGCTCTCAAGTATTGCTTTTTCTTGGGTATTTTTTGGGAGGGGGGAAGGGAGTCCTTAGAAAAAGCAAAGAGCTTTTGCTGTCCAAACCTAATTACCTCAAAGGAATTCCTAGTCAGTATTAAAACCTGACTACCCTTGAAATTCTGCAAACATTGTATTACTATGAATTTTTAAAGAAATGTTAGGAAATGTAGAGAGACTATATTGGGGAAATGAAAATTAATTAAATAAATAAGAAATAGATCTAGTCAGCAAGTCCTGGGCTTTTCCTTCTTGGTAGGTTTGGGTTAACACCCTATTATGATACTTTACTCCTTATTAATCTTTTATATTTCCTATTTTACATGATTCAGTTTTGTTAATTTGTGTTGTTCTAAGAATTTATGTACACCTTCTAAGTTACACAGCTTGTCAGAGTGAAACTTTTGTAGTGTTCCAATATGATGTTCTATATTCCTGAGCATTGCCAAAAAATACACTAAGCCATATGCTATATCACAATTCATAAGAGTAGTTAGAAAAGGAACCTAGGGAATTATAGAAACAAAATTCGGGATAGGGGATGTTGTGAAAAAAAATGTGACAGCATGAAGGGAGATGAATGACAGCTCAGCTCTGTAAAATGTGAGGGGATAGAACAAGTCAGACATTGGGATCAAGGGAAAAGACCCTGTGGACGAAAGAAGATGAAGACTTGAAAAAGCAGCAGGATCAAGGGCCAGAGAGGTTCAGAGTGGAGGAGCTGATTATCTTTATTACAAGTTCATTGGGAATCCCCTAAAAAGTAGGCCTTTAATATAGCTCTCAAGGTCATTTCATTTAAAGACTCCAGAGCCAGGATAGTTAAGCCACTTTACTTTTTGACCCACACATCTGATTCCTGGAGTATGAAGGGAAGAAGTAAAGTTACCTACAGAACCAGTTCTCCCATTCTGTGATCATTCATCAGAGAAGTTGCAAAAACAGCATGTTTTGGCTCTCTACCTCTATGGAACAATTAAACAACAACAAAAAAATGAACACAGCCAACACCTCACCCAACACAAACACCAAACATCATCAGTGGGAAATAAAATTATTTGGTTGGGAATTTAGAAAGATGATAATTTTATTAATTGGCAACAAGACAAATTAAAATTACTCCGTAGCTAAAGTACCATTAACATTTTTCATGATGCATGGTTTTTCTGATTTCAAAAATATGTTAATGTAATCCCTTCCAATCAGGTAGAAATAAGCTTTATTGAGTATTTAAGAAGCATTTCTAGGGTCAGTAAGATGGCTCAATGGGCAAAGGGACTTGCCGCTAAGACTCACACTCTGAATTCAGTCTCTGAGTCTCTCACGGTCAAGAGAACTCCAGCAAGCTGTTCCCTAATGCCACACAATGCTGGCACACACAAGGGAATGAGCTAATAAATAAATATTTAAAAAAGAAAATGGTGCTATATCTTTTATATTCTCATTTCATTTAGTGTGTTATCTTTGAGATTAATTCACACTATTGTTTATTGCATGATTCTCTGCTCTCCTGAAGCTGGGTAACATTCTTTGTACATATGTTCCTAATTTTAATTCATTAATCTACTGATGAATATTCAGGTTAATTACACATCTTAACTATAATGAATATTTCTGCAATGAAGAGGAAAAACAAATATCTTTTGATATCCTAAATTTAATTATTTTAGACACAAACTCCACAAACTTCTTACTGGTTCAAGGCATTGGGTAATGAGCTATAATATTTAATGGGCATTGTTCCATTTATTACCGCAGCCCTATGTGGCAGATGCTACTGTTAAATTCCTTATAAAAATCAAAAATGTGACACCTAGAGATAATGAGCATTTTGTATGAATTCACAAATTGGTGGAGTAGATTTCAGACCTAGGAATATATGACTCTACCCTCAATGTCCACTCATTTTCATGCCAAGAAACCCCAGCGCAGGGGAGCTCAGTGAGGCGTTCAAAGGTATGAGCATCTTTAGAATATTCTGACAGCTTTCACTGAATACCACTCTGCCCTCTGCACCAGTGTGCTTCACCAGAGTGCAGACTACACAGGAGGCAGGAAAGGAGTGTACGGTAGGTACCAGGAACAGCACAGGGAAGGTCCATCTTGGCTGACTTCCGCACATCAGCTTTTAAATATCAGGATAGTTTCCCACGGAGTGACTCAAGCTGGGTCTTAACCTTTCAGAATGACGGATCCTGCATTAAATATAGAATAGCAGAATGGGAGACTAATCTAAGGATTTGTAACAAACATGAATCAACCCAGCTAAAATCCATACTCCCCACGTACGGAGGCTTATGTCGGGGATAAACCACTAAACCTCTCAGGGTTCAGATAGTTTTACTATAGCCGGCAAAAACTTACTGATTAGGTCTGAGAAATAAATTAACCCACTTAAGTCCTTTTTATCATTGTCTCATTATTCTTTCTATGCCTCCTCCAACGCTCTCTCGATGTTTTTTGTTGTTCTCTCGCTGTTCTACCCATCCCACACGGTTTCCAGTTTGTATATAGACAGCTAACAAGAATGCATTTCACAGAATCACAGAAACCTGTGCATCTGACAAGGAGGCGCCTTACCTTTCAAAGGGGGCATGGCTGTGAAGCTCACCTGCAGATACCTGGAGGATTAGTTAGGAATCAGTAAAAACTCTAAGAAGTTTCTGTGCACTAACCACATTTTTTAAGTGTAACTAGAAGTTTGTGATTAATAATTTCAGAAAAACACAACAGGGCTGTTGCACTCTGAACACTTTTGCATCATTCACCAGTGATTGGGACACAACATTGGTAACCATAGCAATTTGTTGGCTTAGGAGGAAGGTAAGGTGCTCGATTTGCATCAGTGTCTAGCTGTCTGGGTTAAAGGAATCTAAAGGCATAAACAGTTACATTCCCGGGCTATGACCTTATGTTAATTGAAACCAAGGTGAAGAAGAAATACAGAATATTAGTAGCTTGTTAGGTTAGAGCAAAAAGTCCAGTAGACTACACCTTCCTGAGTCTGCTGCTAGAGAATTCAGGGGCCACCCAGATGTACTCTCTCTGCTCAGTTCCTCCTGCCTAGGGCTCCTTTCTTTGTGGAAGTCTTGTCAATAGGATAGCTGGCAGGAGAGGAGCTAGTGTTATGTAGATTTGACTATGAGAGCAAAGATTTGGGTGAGTGAATGCTTTCACATCAGGCCTTCAAGATGTGGCAAAGGTACACAGTTGCCCATACAGGTAGAATTTTTTAACAAATGATTTATATACTGCTGGAATATTTGGGGAAGGATCCCATTTTGAAAGGGAGAAGAGTCACGGCTTCACAAGGTTTTCACAGAATTGACAGTGACTGTCCAAAAACAAGTGTTCCTGCAGCTCTGCAATACGGGTTCTCCACCAGATCACATTCCTATGGATTTGTCTATTGGTCCATTATCTCTGCTTCGGCTGCATAGTCTTGTGGGCTCACCATACCCATGTTGTTTGGATGGCTTTCCCACATAGCTTGGCTCCTCATTATTTTTGCTTAAAATAATTAAGCAATGACAATTTGACTAGTTTTTTTTTTTTTTGGCTAGGTAAATGAATTAGCTCCAGGAATTTGCATTCTAATCCTAAACCATTAGTTTTATATTCTACAGTGAAATTATCAAGATCACTTACCTCAATCTCCATGTCTGTAAATTATGTATGGTGCGTAATAGTATGTGCCTATACACACTACTAGCATGACTGTAATAA